CAAAGTGCCTTTTATTTTCTCATTTGCAAGTTTCATATACATCTTTATCCTGGTTTCTTCCCAGATTATTTTTTATTCTCAGCTTACTTTGTCATTCACAAATTTCATATACATCTTTATTCCCAGCTTTTCCTAAAAATCAGAGGGTCTGACAATACTACGCCAGCAGTCTGGCAGCTGACAACTCTGGCATCTATCAGCAAATGCTCCTCTGAATGAGGCAGCCACTGTTCCCAACAATGCCATTACTCCCACCTGCCTAACCCAGCCTTGTGGTTACAACAACCTGAGAGCAGTCATGGCAAAGTAGCAAGAAAGGACTTATCTCCCATGGGAGAAGATGGAAGACACCCAGAGGCTCCCACGGGAGAAGATGGAGGACACCCAGAGGCTCCCACGGGAGAAGATGGAGGACACCCACAGGCTCCCACGGGAGAAAATGGAGGTCACCCAGAGGCACCCACGGGAGAAGATGGAAGGTACCCAGAGGCTCCCACGGGAGAAAATGGAGGGCACCCAGAGGCTCCCACGGGAGAAGATGGAGGACACCCAGAGGCTCCCACGGGAGAAGATGGAGGACACCCAGAGGCACCCACGGGAGACGGAGGACACCCAGAGGCTCCCACGGGAGAAGATGGAGGATACCCAGAGGCACCCATGGGAGAAGATGGAGGACACCCAAAGGATTCCACGGGAGAAGATGGAAGACACCCAGAGGATCCCACGGGAGAAGATGGAGGACACCCAGAGGCACCCATGGGAGAAGATGGAAGACACCCAGAGGATCCCACAGGAGAAGATGGAGGACCCCCAGAGGATCCCACGGGAGAAGATGGAGGACACCCAGAGGCACCCCACAGGAGAAGATGGAGGACACCCAGAGGCACCCACGGGAAAAGATGGAGGACACCCAGTAGCACCCAAGGAGAAAGCTGACCAGATCTACAAACACCAAGCTTCCTCTTGGGGAGCTATACACTCTGGGCAAGGAGAACAGCTTTGCCAGCCTCAAACAAATCTGAAGGTTTTTTGGTAAAAGAATAGAAGAGTTGGAAGCTTTTAGTATGCTTTTACATCAACTTGTACTCCAAGAAAACATGAGAAGTGAGCTGCTCTAAAAAATTCTAGAATGTGACATTTTAGAGTGATCTGCAGCATGATCATACATGGTAACAAACAACTGATTCCTTTTTCTTTCTTTTTTTAAAACATTTTATTTTTAAGTAATCTCTACATTTAATGTGGGGCTCAAATTCGCATGCTCCACTGACTGAGCCAGCCATGTGCCCCACAAACAACTAATTCTTATGCATGAACTTCAATCCATTTTTATCACCATATGCAAAAACTAAACCAAAATGGGCCACAGACTTAAATGTAAAACCTAAAACTATGAAACTTCTAGGAGAAAATAGAACATCTTTGTGATCTGGGTTAGGCAAACATTTCTTAGAAATGATACCAAACATATGACCCATAAATTAACAAAATGATAACCTGAAAGTGATTAAATTTATTTATTTATTTAATGTTTATTTATTTTTGAGACAGAGAGAGACAGAGCATGAACGGGGGAGGGTCAGAAAGAGAGGGAGACACAGAATCTGAAGCAGGCTCCAGGCTCTGAGCTGTCAGCACAGAGCCCGACGCGGGGCTCAAACTCACAGACTGTGAGATCATGACCTGAGCCGAAGTCGGACGCTTAACCAACTGAATCACCCAGGCGCCCCGAAAGTGATTAAATTTAAAAGCTCTTGTTCTTGGGGTGCCTGACTGGCTCAGCTGTGGAACATGTGACTCTTGATCTCAAGGTTCTGAGTTCAAGTCCCACATTGGGTGTGGAGATTATGTAAAAATAAAATCTTTAAAGAAAAACATAAATTAATAAAAACTCTTGCTCTTTTAAAGACAATGTTAAGAGAATGAAAAAAGCTACGGACCAGAAGAAAATATTTGCAAATCATGTATCTGAAGAACTCTCAAACTCAACACGAAAACAAACTCAAAACTGATATACAGTGAAAGATGTACAACTGATGAATGGATAAAGAAATTGTGGTTTATATACACAATGGAATACTACGTGGCAATGAGAAAAAATGAAATATGGCCTTTTGTAGCAACTTGGATGGAACTGGAGAGTGTGATGCTAAGTGAAATAAGCCATACAGAGAAAGACAGATACCATATGGTTTCACTCTTATGTGGATCCTGAGAAACTTAACAGGAACCCATGGGGGAGGGGAAGGAAAAAAAAAAAAAAAGAGGTTAGAGTGGGAGAGAGCCAAAGCATAAGAGACTGTTGAGAACTGAGAACAAACTAAGGGTTGATGGGGGGTGGGAGGGAGGAGTGGGTGGGTGATGGGTATTTAGGAGGGCACCTTTTGGGATGAGCACTGGGTGTTGTATGGAAACCAATTTGACAAATTTCATATATAAATAAAAAAAAAAAGATGTACACACTCAACCAAAGACATTACAAATGGCAAATAACAAAAAAAAGGTCAAAATTATTAGTCGTTAGGTAAGTTCAAATTAAAACTGGAATGATATACATTACCACACACCCACTAGAATGGCTAAAATTAAGAAGAATGGCTGCACCAAGTATTGGGAAGAAGTGAACCTCTCACACACTGCTGGTGGGGAACATAAAATGCTACAACCATTTTGGAAGACAGTCTGGCAATTTTTTACAAAGTTAAATATACACCTGCTTTAAGAACCAGCCACTCCCCTCTGTATTTACTCAAGAGAAACGAAAGCATATATCCATACAGACTTGTACACAAATCTTCATAGCAGTTTCATTGATAACAGCCCCAAACTGCAAATAATCCACACGTTCACCAACTGGGGAATGGGTAAGCAAACTGTGTTATTTTCATACAAGGGAACCTCATAATAAAAAGGAATGAATTGCTGATAAAGACTACATGGAGGCGCCTAGTGGCTCAGTCGGTTAAGTGTCCAACTTCGGCTCAGGTCATGATCTCATGGTTCGTGGGTTTGAGCCCTGCATTGGGCACTGTGCTGACAGCTCAGAGCCTGGAGCCTGCTTTGGATTCTGTGACTCCCTCTCTCTCTGCCCCTCCCCTGATCAAGTTCTGTCCCTCTCAAAAATAAACACTAAAAAATTTTAAAAATTAAAAAAAGACTGCAATATGGATGTTAATTACAGAAGAAGCCAGTCCTCCCCCCGCCCTGAAAAAGTACATTCCATATGATTCATTTATACACAAATTTTAAAATACAATAGGGGCGCCTGGGTGGCTCAGTCGGTTAAGCGTCCGACTTCAGCTCAGGTCATGATCTCGCGGTTCGTGAGTTCAAGCCCGCGTCAGGCTCTGTGCTGATGGCGCAGAGCCTGGAGCCTGTTTCGGACTCTGTGCCTCCTTCTCTCTCTGACCCTCCCCCACTCATGCTGTCTCTCTCTGTCTCAAAAAATAAATAAACGTTAAAAAAAATTAAAAAAAAAATACGATCTATAGTGAGAGAAAACAGATCAGTGATCTCCTGGATGAGTGGTGCCATTTAGCTGTTAGAGAATTCAGTGAGTAATAATATAATACTACTGATCCCAGGAAAGGGATTTCTTTTACAGACCCCAAAAGATAGGCAACAAGGTAGCAGGTACTCTCTGCCAGGTAGGAGAAAAAGGGTAATTAAAAGCTCCCAAAAACACAAAGCAAAAACTATTTTGGAAAAAACAAGGCAATGTGGCAAAAAACTAGTCTCATCTGGGAAACCTTCATCTGGGAACATTACTCTGGCGTACGCAGGCAGGGAACATGAACCACAGGAGAAAGCCTGGGAGAAGACCAAGCCACAGAGTTCGACAGCCTATGAGCTACAAGTTGAACAGATACAGTTAGAGTAGGGACAGGAAAGGAGAAAGGGTGGGCATCTGGGTGGATCAGTTGTTAGGTATCCAAATCCTGGTTTCAGCTCAGGTGGTGATCTCACAGTTGGTGGCAGTCTGAGCTGGCAGCTCAGACCCTACTTGGGATTCTCTGTCTCTCTCTGTCTCTGTCTCTCTTTCTCAAAATAAATAAATAAAACATTTTTTTAAAGAAAGGAAAAAGGCATAAAAGAGTCACAGAAGGAAGAATTTTATGATTGGCAAAATAAGGAGAATTCAAGGTAAGGACACTACAGCTATCCGCTTTTCTATCAAAGTGAACAGTGTGCGGCTAGGTGTTCTGAAATGAAAAAAGGGAAGCACCCCAGCAGACTCATAAGGCCAAGCCTTCAAGTCACTGTGGGCTACTGCTGCAGCAGAATCACGAAGTCCAATCTGGGTGAACAGAGCCTGACACAAGCCCACAGCAGAGCGCAAGCTCACAGAGGAAAAGCCCCACTCTCTTTACAAGGTTACGACCCAAACCATGTAAACTTTCAACTCTATCACTGATTTCTAAAATCTAAAAATATTCTCATGCAGAGGAAGTAAGACAGCATGGGGAATATAATCAATGGTATTGTAATAGGGTTGTCTGGTGACAGATGGTAGCTATACTTTGAACACAGCATAACTTATAGATTTATGGAATCTAATGGAACATTGTTAACTATACTTCAAAGAAAAGAAGTAAAACTATAACCAAAGTGCTAAAATATGGGAGAAATCGGTTATCTCTGAAAATGTTAGCAACATGGAATTCCACCTATTAACCAGACAAAATAATCTTTAGTTTCTAGTAATCAACACTATTTCATAAATATGTATCCTGGCTCTAGTTACCTGCAACTTACAACCTATGATTAGAATGAAGATCTACGTTGTGGAAGAACATGAGAAACGCAGTGTCCAGAGACCTCTACATGCAGTAAGAATAAAGCTTTTATTGCACTCAACAACAAGGCTAATCTTACGAACCAAGAAATCAACTCAACCCCAAATCCTAATTCTATAACCTCTCTTCTCAACACCCACCCACTTTACATTCTCCCCGGCCATGCAAAGCACTTCTACCACCCAGCACATACAGGCTGCATACCTGTTTGGAAGGTAGGATTTGCTCCAGGGTACATGTTGGGGGAATAGGCAGGAGCTGCGGCCGCATAGCCCATGGGGAAACCAGCTGGAGAAAAACAGAACAATGTAATGTCACCACTTAAAAGAGTAACACAATTTTTTACAACCATGGCTCCTAGACCCAGTCGTTTTTATCTTCTCCACAGACTGACTTAAGGGTATGTATGCTAAGCAGTTTGTCACTAGGTGTCTCCTTTCCTCAGAATTAGGATGGGTCATAATCAAGTCTTTCAAACTTATCAGTTTTATATTCTAGGTTCTCATCATATAATTTATTACTTAGCAAGAGTAATGAGAATGCTGAGAGATCGTGTCATGAAGGGGCTGTAACTGGTACTACTGACACACGGAAATGGGAAAAATCCAATGTCACAACCCACTTGCAAGCAACCTAATTACAAATAATTACAAATGATGAATCTTTAATAACACTAAACCACAACCACTACTAATTCATGTGAATACAACAAAAACATCAAATAAAACAGTGTTATGGTCAAAATCCTAGTCACCAGGCGTCCACCAGCAGTGAGTAGGGCCTCAGTTACTTGCTCCTGGCCTCTTCACAGCCTAGGGAGCCCTGTAAGGCCCATGCCCAGGCATTCCCCTGACCCAGCTGGCTCACAGTCCAGAACACTCCATTCATGTGACAGCTGGAGCATTAGAAAGCCTTCCTTATATTCAGGGCACAGAACCAATAAAGATGACCCAGATTCACTAGTCTTTACTATTGTCTGTCACAAACTAGTTAAGAAAAGCTGTTACCTTCTCTATTCCTCTTGCCCTCACCTGTAAATAAAGTTGAAATGGAACAGCAGACTTCAAAAGACTCTGTGTTGAAGAGACTCAGAGAAAGTGTCTCCTAGGGATATTTAAGGCACTGTAGTTCTAAGAGTAACCAAAGTGAAAAACCACAAGGGTAGGAAGGTAACAAAGGAGAAAACAGAGTACAATTCCAGAAGGAAAATCTTTGTGGGTCTGGCTGTCACCTGTAAAGGTGTGGATAAAGTGCCTTACAGAAACCCCTGCATTCTCCAGCACAGCTTGGATGCCCTTGGTCTGCTGCATCTCCTGCTCCAGCAGTGGTCCTGTAGGCTCTACGGGTCTCCTCGCAAGGCAGGGGCTCCAGACCTACCACTCCCAAGGGATCCCTACTTGCAAGTGCCCATTTCTCATCTCATATACAATCCTCTGCTTCGGAGTCGCTTTCCTTTCTCAAAATTGATCTTCCTCTACCTCAGCAGAAGCTATTTTGAGTTTCCTTCATAGATCACCACTTTCCCATTTGCCCAATTACTTAGAAAACAGTGTGAGGAGATCAAATGCTTACCAAATTCACTCATTTTGGACATCAAGGACAGATTCAACTTGAAATAGACCTAAAATGTCTATTTTAAAAAGACCAGGAAGGTAGTTTTTAATCTGTGTTCTATGAACCCTGTACAGTTCCTTAGAGGCCTCAACTGTGAGCAGCAGGAGGTCAAGCAGGCTCTGGAGCCTGCCCTCAATTCACCCTGCTGCTCTAACTTACCTTAGTACTATGGAACCACTTACAAATCTTCGAAAGTTTCATGGTTAAGAAGAAAATTTTAAATACTACTGACCTAGATCTTATCAGGTAGGCCTCTACAACAATCCCCTCAAAATCCAATGTCCTCATCTCTCCATAAATTCTACCAGTAAATCCTCCAGGGGCATCATCTGCTCCTGTACTTGTCTTGTGTCTAAGAGGTTCCTGGAACACTACTATTATGTTTGCTTGGCGCTTCCTATCCTAACCTTCTAACAATGAATTATTGTGCTCTAAAATGAAAGAGAAAACCCAAATAACAAGTATTTAAAACAGCATAATTAAACACCAGCAACAGGACACCACACTCGCACACCACTCACACCACCACCCTGACCCAGGGCCCCACAGCAGGACCCCACTTACTCTAGTCCAAAGGTTTCCACTGTAGCCACACAAAACCCCCCACATGGAAACCCTTGAAAGGACTGTCTCCCCAGCCCCTCACGAGCATTGCTTTAACTGGTCTTGGTTGTAGCACCTTCAGTTTCTTAATTTTTCCAGAAAACTCTAACCTGCAGGGGGGCTCTAATAAATAAGTGGAAAAGCACTGTGCCTTCCTATTCTTATCAATCTTCCTGGCCACAGCACGGTCTTCCTAAAAATGCCCCTCACAGTAAGTACCACAGACTGTTTCCTTCAACATCTAGTCTAGCTCCCTTTTGAGACAGAAACACTAGAAAGCTAGAAATTACACAACCTAGACTCCACTCTTGTAAAACACTTGGAAGTAATCCCAAATCCTAATCACTTTTATGACTAATCACTTCATGAAAATAAGAAGTTCAGAAGATACCATAAGCTAAATAAAAAAAAAAATACAAAGCAAAAATACTTGCAAATTATACAAAAAGTTAATACTCCTAATATATAATTCTTAAAACTAAAAAAAAAAAAAAAACCAATAGAAAAAAATAAATAAATAGAAGACACGGATAGAACTGCCAACTACCACTACACTGATCCCATTTCTAACATCAGATTGGCAAAAATCCAAAAGCTGAAAACACACTTTGTTGGCAAGGCTGTGGGGAAACCATGCTTCTGGTAGGAATACAAAACAATAAAAATCCTATGGAAGGGAAATCATCAGTATTTTAAAAATTACGTATGTGTTTACTCTCTCACCCAGCAATCCCTTGTCAAGGAATCCACCCTGAGATAATTTCCACAATCAATATAAGCTGCAGTATTGCTGGAATACCAAAATACTTCAAACATATCTATCCAAAGAACTAGTTGAATAAACTCTGGAAACCCCACAAGATGCAAGATTACAACAGCAGCATTATGCAAAATATGAAAAAGAACAAGGCAAACCTCTGTGAACCAACATGGAATGACTCCTAGAATATCTTAAGTTGACAAAACAAAGTGAACACTACCACCTACATCACTATTCCAGAAAAGAACCCCCTGCTCAGCCATGAGGAATATGTGGGCTGACTCCCAGGGCCACTTCTGCCTAATGAGGGCCTCCTCTAACCACCAATCCTTCCCTCACAGCTCTCCCCTGAGCTGGCTAAGACCTCAGCAATGTGTAGCACAGTCCTGAGGCTCTCCCTACTTGATTCTGCTTCCTCTTCATTAGACCTTTCACAAGTATTATCCTCCCCTCCAAAAAGCCTACTTCTCTAATTCTATCTGTGTCCACCACATTTTGTGTAACAAAAAGAGAAATTCAAATACATGGACATATTGGCATGGGGGCATGATATGAACTGAATATGCCCCCTCCAAAATTTGTATGTTGAAACTCTAATCCCCAAATATGATAGCATTTGAAGATACTCAATTACAGTAATCATTTCACAGTGTATACATATATTAAATCATCATATACCCCTTTAAAAAAAACATGTTGTACAACCTAAATATATGTAATTTTTACTTGTCAATCATACTCAATAAAGCTGGCTTGAAGAAAATAAAGCTCAATCAGTATGCTATCTTGCCTCACAAAGGAAGACATCAACTGGACCACTTACAATTCTTATTTATATTTATATTCATATTTATATTTATATTTATATGCAAGTTAGCTAGCATATAGTGCAATAATGATTTCAGGAGTAGAATCCAGTGATTCATCACCTACATATAACACCCGGTGCTCATCCCAGCAAGTGTTCTCCCCAATGCCCCTTGCCCATTTAGCCCATCCTCCCACCCACAACACCTCCAGCAACCCTGTTTGTTCTCTGTATTTAAGAGTCTCTTGTGGTTTGTCCCCCTCCCTATATTATTTTTGCTTCCCTTCTCTTATGTTCATCTGTTTTGTATTTTAAATTCCACATAAGTCATATTTGTCTTTCCCTAATTTTGTTTAGTATAATACTCTAGTTCCATCCATTGTTGCAATTGGCAAGATTTCATTCTTTTGTATTGCCGAGTAATATTCCATTACATATATTTATATATAACATAAATATACATATATCACATCTTCTTTATCTATTCATCAGTAGATGGACATTTGGGCTCTTTCCATACTTTGGCTATTGTCAATAGTGCTGCTGTAAACTTTGGGGTGCATGTGGCCCTTTGAATCAGCACTCTCGTATCCTTTGGATAAATATCTAGTAGTGCAATTGCTGGGTCATACAGTAGTTCTATTTTTAATTTTTTGAGGAACCTCCATACTGTTTTCCAGAGTGGCTGCACCAGTTTGCATTCCCACCAGCAGTGCAAAAGGGTTCCTCTTTCTCCACATCCTCACCAACATCTGCTGCTGCCTGAATTGCTAATTTTAGCCTTTCTGACAGGTGTGAGGTGGTATCTCACTGTGGTTTTGATTTGTATTTCCCTGATGATGAGTAATGTTGAACATTTTTTCATGTGTCAGTTGGCCATCTGGATGTCTTCTTTGGAGAAGTGTCTATTCATGTCTTTTGCCCATTTCTTCACTGGATTATTTGTTTTGTGGGTGTTGAGTTTGATAAGTTCTTTATAGACTTTGGATATTAACCCTTTATCTGTTATGTCATTTGCAAATATCTTCTCCCATTCCATGTGCTTTTAGTTTCGTGATTGCTTCCTTCACTGTGCAGAAGCTTTTTATTTTGATGAGTTCCCAGTAGTTCATTTTTGCTTTTGTTTCCCTTGCCTCCGGAGACATGTTGAGTAAGAAATTGCTGCAGCCGAGGTCAGAGGGGTTTTTGCCTGCTTTCTCTTCTAGGATTTTGATGGCTTCCTGTCTTAGGTCTTTCATCCATTTTGAATTTGTTTTTGTGTATGGTGTAAGAAAGTGGTCCAGGTTCATTCTATTGCATGTCGCTGTCCAGTTTTCACACCATTTGCTAAAGAGACTGTCTTTATTCCATTGGATATTCTTTCCTGCTTTGTCAAAGACTAGTGGGGGTGTCTGGTGGCTCAGTTGGTTGAGTGTCCAACTGTGGCTCAGGTCACGATATCACAGTTTGTGGTTTGAGCCCTGCATTGGGTCCGTGCTGACAGCTCAGAGCCTGGAGCCTGCTTTAGATTCTGTGTCTCCCTCTCTCTCTGCCCCTCCCCTGTTCATGCTCTGTCTCTCTCTCTCTCTCAAAAATAAACATTTAAAAAAATTTAAAAAAGAAAAAAAAAGATTAGTTGGCTATACGTTTGTGGGTCCATTTCTGGGTTCTCTATTCTGTTCGATTGATCTGAGTGTCTGTTCTTGTGACAGTACCATACTATCTTGATTATTACAGCTTTGTAATACATCTTGAAGTCTGGAATTGTGATGCCTCCAGGCTTGGTTTTCTTTTTCAGGATTACTTTGCCTATTCGGAGTCTTTTCTGGTTCCATACAAATTTTAGGATTATTTGTTCTAGCTCTGTGAAGAATACTGGTGTTATTTTGATAGGGACTGCCCACCTCCAATTTTAGTACACTGTGTATTGCACTGAATGAAAAAACATTAGGCATGCGGAGACAGGACCACATGGCTGAGAAACAAACAAAAAAAGGGACAACTGACAATAAAAACAGACCCACAGGTGATTCACAGACTGCAGTCACCAAACAAGATCTTTAAAATGACTGTGATTAGTATGTTGGAGAAAAGAGAAGATTGGAGTACATGAAAAAAGTCAATTCAATAAATGCGTTTTATAGCAAACTGGAGAAGAATTAGCAGGATTAGTGAAATGGAAGCAGGTTGGTACAAAATATCCACATTAAAGCTCACAGAGGGAAAAAATGTAAAAGACAAAAAAATGCAGGACACAAGACACAAGGTAAAATGATTTACTACACTTATAAATGTAAGTCCCAAAAGAGAAGGGAGCAGAAACAAAAAAATACGTGAAGAATCACTGTTACTGCTATTTTGAGGGAAAAAAAAAAAAAAAAAAAATCAACCTACTGAGGCGGTTTCCGGATAAAATATCCACATTAAAGCTCACAGAGGAAAAAAATGTAAAAGACAAAAAAACGCAGGACACAAGAAACAGGTAAAATGATTTACTACACTTATAAATGTAAGTCCCAAGAGAGAAGGGAGGAGAAACAAAAAAATTCGTGAAGAATCACTGCTACTGCTATTTTGAAGAAAAAAAAAAAAAAATCAACCTACTGAGGCAGTTTCCAGTGTTACTGAAACACACACTCAGTACTGTCTATGGCTGCTTTTGTTCTGGAAAGTAGGGGTTGTATAGTTTTAACAGAGAGCCACAATGCCTGAAATATATACTACACCTGGACCTTTATATAAAGTTTGCCAATCTCTGCTTTTGGCCAAAGAACAGGAACAAAATTTAGGTATCTTGCACAGAACTGGAATATGAAAGGCAATCAATATTTTATTAAAAAGACTATCAGACAACACTAATACCATAGGGTTTTTTTGCCTATTTCCGTTGCTCCAGATCCACCCAGGATTCTCCTCAGCTATTCGGCATTCTGTTTAAACTAGTCTGATGACTTAAAGATAGTAGGTCTTATTACTAAATTTCTTTTTATCAATTCCAGAAAATTCTGTCACTCCTTTTCTTCTCTATTCGACCTTATGGAGCTCTTAATTCTCCCCAAGTCTTCTCATTCTGACATCTAGATTTCTTAAATGCTCTCCTATAGCCCTCCCCCCTTTCCTTATTTGGCATCCTGGTTCTCCCATTTAGTGGTGTTTTACCTGCAATTTAACCTGAATTTTATTCACATGCCATTCCTTTTTAAGTTCCTTTGGTTCTTTATGGTCACCCCACACACACACATACCCATGTCTAGTTCCCCTCTTATATTCTGATTCTTTTCTTTTGATCTCCAATTATTCTAAACTTGTTTGTGTGATGTGGTTTCTACCTGATGTTCTATTCCTGAAGTCTATCATGACTGGTGACTCTTACTTGCATTGTTAACAGGCAGAATTTCGTGGGAAACCCACACAACCTGGAATGGGAACATATGCCTCCAGAGCAGTTCTGCATTTGCTGCTGTCAGGTGCTTAGGGGTAATGAAGGCTGCAGACTACTTTTTATGTTAGTTTCTCAATTATGGACCCCTGGTAAGTCTGGGTAATACAAAGTGGAGCCTCCAATATCTCTGACTCGTTATAAAGTGTTAGGAAGGATTTCCCCCTTCCTAGAGCCCAAGCAGAGATAAAATTCCCTTGTGGAACCAGTGAAAGAACTGTTTTAGTCTACATCTTCCCTGGGAGTATGACCCTCTGGAGGAACAAGATTGGTGTAGGGTCCCACTTCCAACTCTCAGCCTCACAATGGCCTCACTTTCTGTCCCCTTGTGGGATGTTAAAACCAACTAAGAGCACATGCCCCTAAGACAAGCTAATTATCAGCTCAATGGCCAAATGCACTGGTTTTTATGTCACTTTCATATTTAGCTACAGATATTTCGCTCACTACCCTGCAAGTTCAGTTGTACATTTTTTAAATGTTTTATTCAATTTTTTGAAAATATTTATTTTTAAGAGAAAGAGAGAGCATGCAAGCAGGGGAGGGGCAGAGAGAGAAGGAGACAAGGATCTGAAGCAGGCTCCCACTGACAATATACAGCCCAATGTGGGGCTTGAGCTCACTAACCGTAAGTTCAAGACCTAAGCTGAAGTTGGATACTTAACCCACTGAGCCACCCAGGCACCCCTAAATGTTGTATTCAATTTTCTAGAGGTTTTATAGCAACAGGATTTTAAGGTTATCTGTTCCACCATATTATCAAAACCCACAAAAAAAATTTAACATTACAAACAATTATTCCTTGGGGTGTCTGGGTGGCTTAGTGGGTTGGGCGACCAACTCTTGATTTTGGCTCAGGTTATGATCCCAGTGTCATGGGATCCAGCCCCGCGTCGGGCTCCACGCTGAGGATGGAGCCTGCTTAAGATTCTCTCTCTCCCCCTCTGCCCCTCTCCCCTACTCACACATGCTCTCTAAAATAAAAAAACTAAAAATAAAAATTAAAAAAAATAAAATAATGACTCCATGTTAGATGTCACCAACTAGGATGACCATTTGCTGTTTTCAACCAATCAGCTCCTAGTCCCCCAAATTTGCTTTACTGCTTCCCTCACAGCCCAAGTTTGACTAGCTGACTCCAATAAGGGAGGAATATGCCTCAGACCTGAATTAACCAGTAGAATCTCCTTCTGGCCCAGGGATGGAAGCTGAGTGCAATCAGAACACACCCCAGGACTGGTCTGAATAGAGAACGAGAAGCCCCATGGGGGGTTCCTATAGAGCAGATGTAACAAGGCTCACAGCCAGTATACTGGTGGGAGTAGCTGAACACCAGAGAGAGACCACAATGGGGAGAAGTGTAACCCATGACCAATACTGAGCCAATCCTGAGGAAGTGAAGCTGAGTCCAGGAGGCAGAAATCAGATCCCAGTACCACCTGTTGGAGCCACCAGATCAAGCTTTGACCAAATCCAGTCCTACCTCTTGATTTTTCAATTCCATGAGCCAAAACATTTTCTTCCTTGTGTAACTCACTTTGAGCTAAGTTTGTCAACTAGAAGCATTCTTAGGGACATGGAAATTTACTAAGTGCTCAAAGTTCCGTAACAAAACAAAGTTTTACTTGCTTACCTGGATAACCAATTCCTTTGGCATTTGCATAGGGAACCCCAGAAGAACCAGGGCTATAAACAGGATTCATGATTTCAAGAACTAAAAAGGAAAAAAAAAGTGATTTAGCCAAGCACTTTTATTCTCTAGTTTTTCTCCAACATCAGTCTCAAAACAGCAGACAGCAAGAGTCCCTCCTCTAGTCTACTAAAAACAAGGCATCTAAGGCTGCTGCCAATCTACTTAGAAAAGGAAGGCCAGAAGTCCTGAAGAGCACCCACCTAATATTGTAAACTTTCCTTCACAGCTTCTTCAGTCCATAGGAAGTTAAAGGGAAAAAGTGCTCTCTACGGCCCTACTTAAACCAGTGAAAAAAAAAATCCTTATAATTTAAATGTCCTTATAACAAAGAATAGTTAAGTAAACCAGATCTATTCAGAATATGAAATATTGTACAGCTACTTTTTAAAGTGTTTAAGAACATGACTGACATAATGTTATACAGAAAAAGGAAGGGAATGATGCTGCATTATGTAGTATGATATCAAATCTGCACCCGCACATAGTAGAGGCACAGGCATGTGTACTTCCAACACAAGGAGAAAAGATCTGGGAGAATATAAAAATATGAACAGAGACTGTCTCTAGATGGGGTGGGGTTAGTGTTCTTTTTGCACTTTTCTTTGTTTCTTAAATAACTTTTGTTAAATATACATATATTTTCTTAAAAAGAAAAATCAGCTACAGGGGCGCCTGGGTGGCGCAGTCAGTTAAGCGTCCAACTTCAGCCAGGTTACGATCTCGCGGTCCGTGAGTTCGAGCCCCGCGTCAGACTCTGGGCTGATGGCTCAGAGCCTGGAGCCTGTTTCCGATTCTGTGTCTCCCTCTCTCTCTGCCCCTCCCCTGTTCATGCTCTGTCTCTCTCTGTCCCAAAAGTAAATAAACGTTGAAAAAAAAAGAAAAATCAGCTACAGCCCAGCAACTCTATTAACCCATTCAATGTTTTTTCACAATCTTTTTCCGTAAAGTTCAACTTACCCAGCTACAACCATGAATTTACCCCTTCCTCAATAGAAATATGATTCTCATCAGTATCTTCAGCAAGCTCCTCTGAATTCTATCGCCCAAAGTATTTTCTGAAAGTGAGTTTAATCAAGACTATTCTGCATTCCTCGTCCAGTAAGTCACTCACACAAATTTACATGGTAGTAAGGATTAAGGGGGACCCTAAATTTAAAAATAAAAACACCACAGGGTGGGGGGATGACAGGTAATAGGTATATGGGAATTCTCTGTACTTTCTGCTCAATTTTGCTGTGAACGTAAAGCTGCTCTAAAAAAGTCTACTTAAAAAAATTAAAATGTACATATATTTGTACATGTACATGTACATGTTTAGTGTGTGCCTCCCTTACCACATCCCCAACTAGAAAGTGGCCCCATGCAGACAGCGAACAGGGACTCAGTCCTATTTACTGCAGCACCAATAACAGTATCTGGCACAAAACAGGTGCAAGTACTTGCTGATTTTCTTAAAAAACACATGCACCTTCAAATACTGTAGGTATCAAATTCCATTACAAAGACATATTGCAAAAATTAACTACCTCAAGGTCTCAGCTTACCCGACTCATTTAGCATATCCATAATCAAGCAGTTCAATACAGAAAAAAATATACAAGGTCCCATCCTTAACCTTTGTAACAAGTTCTAGTCTAAATTAGGAATAAATTAGGAACATCTGTGATTTGGATATTCATTATCTGAAAAACTAATTTTTTTTTTAAACTTCTAAACCAAAAGGCAGGTGCCAACTTTACCATGACATTCACAATTACAGGTAAAAGATAAATCTAGATCAGTACAGGCCAACAGTACCCTCTGCAACTATGAGGATGCTCTCTGTGCCTTCCAGTATGGCAGCCATTAGCGAAAAGTAACTACTAAGTACCCAAAAATATGGCTTGGCTACTGCAGGATCTGATTTTTAAATTTATCTGACTCAAATTTGTTTTTCTAAAGTTTATTTATTTATATAATCTCTATACCCAAGTGAGGCTTGAACTCAGGACCCTGAGATCAAGAGTTGCACACTTCTCTGACTGAATCAGCCATGCATCCCTCAACTTAAATTTAAATAGTCATATGAGACTAGAGGCTATCATAGTGAATGACACATGTCTACAATACAGATGACAGAAAATAACAGGCAGCCATAGAAAGCAAGCAGGAGAATTAATTATGTATCTTATCCCACAGTTTAAGAATAAGCAAATTGGCAATAAACAAATAAATAAATAAGCAAATTGACAACTTCCAGTCCCTACTGTCCTGCACTTTTAACCCATTCTTAGTGGATGTACAACATAAGAATTGTGGAAACCCTCACAAATTCCATCTATCTCTGTAGCTCAACTATGATCTCTAGAAAGTGCATACCTTCCAAAACTGTTTCTCTATCCTGTGCCAGGATCTAATTTCATTTACTCAACTGAATTCAAGATAAGCAAAGCACTATGCAAAGGCCACAGAGGAAAAAAAGAAAAAAAAAAAAAAAGCAAGTCACAGTCCCAGTTCTGAGTTTACAATCTAGGAAAGTGCTGTCCAATAGAAGTTTCTGTGAAAACATATGACAAGAAAAGAGAAGAAAAGAAAAGAAAAAGAAAAGAAAAAAGAAAAGGTATGGCTACCCTATCCACGTAAAGTAGCCATTAATGGCTGGTTAGTGAATACTTGAAATGTGGCTAACACATGTAAGGAACCGCATTTTAGTTTAACTTCAACAGTCACACCTAGGTGATGGCTATTATACTGGACAACCCAGTCCTGAAAAACAAAAAACATGAATAATGGTGATATAGAACAAACAGTAGTAATAGCCACATTAAGAGCCATCAAAGAATAAAGTATTATGAGGGGTGAGGGAGAGAGCAAAAATTCAACAGGTGAGGGGGGGAATGAATGGTCAGAAAAAACTTGGATTACAGAGGTGATATTTCCAACAAGCTCTGGACAAGCAGGATCCCGAAAAGCCATAGAAGTGAGAAAATACAAGATGTACTTTAGTAATACTGGGCAATTGGACTTGTAGGGAATCAGCAAATATGGTTATGGAAGTGGGGCTGAGTAGATGTCATGGAGTAGGCAATGAAGCTCATGAATAGCAAAACAATTTAACACAAGCATTACCATATGATCTGGTAATTCTACTCCTTGGTAAATACCCAAGAGAAACGAAAACATATACATCCACACAAAAATTTGTACACAAATGTTTATAATAGTGTTATTCATAACCAAAAATTTTAAATAACTCAATGAAGCACTGAATACCACAAGGCTCTCCTGCCATAAGGATCTCATAGCGTAAACCAGTAACACAATTCTACTGTACATTTGCCACTAAAAATGTACAGAATTGCACCTGAATTCTCAATACCATAAGTTCCAAACTACTCAAAAGTTACACTTCCTGAAAGCACTTTTACTTCCCCAGAGGCTAATAATGTTTCCTAGAGTGATTGAAAGTCTTTAATGAATTAAAAATTACAGGTTAAGAAAATATAACGAGACTGATAAAAAAAAAGGTTGCAGTTCCCTCTCCTATTCAATAAAAACACCTGAATAATATAAAGACAAAGTCCGTGAACTAATGTCAAAAAGATTCTTAGGTTACTTTTCAAATAATGAGACTTCCCCAAGATTCTGAGGCTCAAGGACAGGGAAAATAATTTTCTCAGCTCTGTCTCCTTGCATTTCATCAATGCTTGGCACACAGGTATCTTATATGTATCTTCTGAATGTTCTTGAATAAAATAATAGAAAATATAACTTTTCACAGCAATAAATGTGAGATTGAGGGGTGCCCGGCTGGCTCAGTCAGTCGAGCATGGACTCTTGATCTCTAGGTTGTGAGTTTAAGCCTCATATTCGGCACAGAGCTTACTTTAAATATATGTATATGTATATATATATATATATGTATATATATTTATATATATATATATGAAGTTGAAATGTTTACTTAAAATATAACTCAGAATTTAGGGGCACCTGGTTGGCTCAGTCAGCTGAGCACGTGATCCTTCCTTGCTTTTGGCTCAGTTCATGATCTCACACTTTGTGCGATTGAGCCTGGCGCCAGGCTCTGCCAGGATTCTCTCCCCCATCTCTCTCTGCTCCACTCCTGCTCGCCCATGCTCTCTCTCTCTCTCTCAAAATAAATAAACTTAAAAAATATATAACTCACAATTGTTGAAAACTTCTGTTTACTGATTAGTGGATATGAAAGCTGAACCCACTGGCCAATCTTAACATCATCATCACAAGTCAAACTATGTAACACTAACAAACCAAAAGGGGGCATTTTAAAAATCAAATGACCCAATTTCTTCAGTAAGTCAAAGGTCTGGAAAAAGGTAGAGGGGTGGGGAGGGCAATTCTAGATTAAAATAGATTTACACATAAAAGTCATTAGGTGGATTTTGTTTGGATTTTGATTTATATTGAAAAAAAACTGTAAAAAGATTTTACAGTTATAAAAATGTCCTCTAGAATGCCCCAACTTTTGGGTTTGTCTGATTGCTTCATGGTGTTGCCCACCCTATTCCTCCAATTTGTCTGTAAACTGGAAGTTGGATGTATAGAATCTATTGATGCAGACTGTAATTTTTTTTTGTAGCAGTACCCTTAAGTGATGCAGAGTACTTCTATCACATGAGGATGCACGTAGTGTTAAACAGTTTGACTTGTGGTGATGATGTTAAGATTGGCCAGTGGGTTTAGCTTTCATATCCACTAATCAAATATAAAAAAATATTAAGTGTGCACACTCGTTCTCTCTTAAAACTTTTTTTTTTTTTTAAAGAGGAGAAAGTTCTCAACTCCCTCAAACTCTACCTTCACTACTGAGGTAGAAATTGGAAGAAATTCATGTATTTCTACACAGGAGTGGAAAGACTTCAAAGGCGTATACGTAGAGTGGAACACAGATATCAGAAAAATAACTATTACTCTTTTAGGTTAGTGTTCCGTTGTTTTAAAAGTGCTCTCAACTGATCTAGAAAAAGAAGCTGTTTATGTGAGAAATAAAATTTCCCTTTAAACTACAGAACATACAAAAAATTAAAATATTTTTACAACGCACTTAAGTTCTTATTTTCCAATTCTAATCCTCTACCTCTACTACTAATTTTCTCAATGTTTGAAAATCCAACAATTTTGGCATTACAATTCTAACCATAAAGTAGAAATGAGTTGAAAGGCAGGTGTAGAGTAGAACAGTAACTAAAAATCCTAACAAATTTATCACGGCCTGGTAAGAGGGCAGGGGCAGTAAGAGCTACAGCAACAGATAGATGGTGCTTCCTCCTGAGTTGCAGGCACTCGCCTCACACACAGAACCCAATCTTTCCACTATTTCCAAAGGTAGGAGCCAGGAAGAGCGGATGCTACCTGCTCAACACTTTTAGCAATTGCTCCTCAAGGACACCCATCAGAAGGCACAGGCAGCTGGCTCTGTCTTCAACTCTTAAAGCCTGCGGGGACCTCTATCAAATCTTAGCTTCCATTTAGTCACAAACACAACTAAACATTAGTAACATACAAACCCTCCCACCAAAGCAAGCCCACTTTATAAAGTTTAAGGGAAATCTTCACAGCGTGTACTACAGTAGCTTCAGCATTAGGAAAAAGAGCTTTAAATTGTCCAATTGGCTGTCAAAGCAAAAATAATCCATTACTTACTCACCAAAGTTGTAAAATGGATCCCTCTTATTGCTCACAGCAAAAACTTTCAAACTTTTTTACATATTTGAGAAAATAATCTCAATTACACGATGGCTTGAAAATTTTAAATGTGGAAATGAGACAAACCTTTTCACTTATAATTTTTTCTTGCATGCCACAAACACTCCCGAATATTTTCATGTACGACTTTAATAAAACATTAACTCATACGACCCATTAAGACGCACACTTGAGTACGCTGTAAAAGAAAAATAACGTTTGTGGACATGCTGCAAAGATTCACCTCTTTAAAGTTAACCCAGACTGGGCGACAAAACGTCCTTTCTGAAATTAAAAAGCCTTTCAAGCTGGAGGGCGAACACTAAGCTTCTGCCAGGCAAATAGAATCATTTTTACTTTGTAGGTAGACAAGGTGACTAGTTTACACATTCGAAATGACTGCAACCACAAGAATCCCAAATCTAAGTTAGAGAAAACAACACCCTGCTGCCTCCCCATTTTTCATACGTTTTCCTGACCTGATCTAAGTCGGACCTTAAAAAGACCCAGCGAACATTCTTGTGCATGGACTCCACCTCTCACCGGCCACCTGGGCAGCACCCCCCACCACCCACACCGCACCTGCCCGCGCGCCAGTCCGCGCCCAGTTCCTCCTCCCTCGGGCCCCCAGAGGCCCGGTCTGTCCCACCGGACAAAGCACAGCCTGGGTTACCGCCGCGGGTGCCACCAGGCCGTCACCCCGCCCGGGCACCAAGCGACCCTAAGCCGCTGGCCCGACCTTGGCGCCGCCCCAGGCCGGCCGCACAAAGCGCCGCACTTCCGGCCGGCAGCGCCGCCGCCCG